TCTCTGCCCCCCTTTCCTGTCTTTCTCCAGCTATCTCTATCAAATAAAGGCATAAAAGGCCAAGAAAAATAACACTTTAAAAAAAATAAGGACTACAAAGAGAACACTGTTGAATTTCAATGACTTATCTACATTTATACGTGAGGAGAGGCCCCTGGCTGTGCGACAACATACATAGGAATTTAGGTTGAAATGAGACAGATGAGTTTTGGGGTATCGCTGTGTCATCCCATGAGAGATTTGATCATTGGAAATACAGGGTGATGACATTCATAATAACTGCTGCTCCCAACAGTGTCCACTCACCTTTTGGACTGTATACTGTGCACAGGAGGCCTAATTGTCCTATCAGATCCCAGATTTTTGGCTGCTGAGGTTCCATCCATCTGGCTGTGATTAACCTGAACAGGATCTATTTTTCTCTCCCCTTATTCTCTCCCTATCTCTTTCAATGTGTACACATCACATGTTGTACCATGACCCTTATAATGAACTTTAAAGGATCACTTCGGGATTTTAGCATCTCACTTCCAGGAAAGCTGGGGGACTTTTAAAAAAAAAAAAAGAGTGGTTGAAGGTGATGCAGCAGAGGCCCAGATATCCTGATTTCTTTGTACCCAATACGGGTCAAGTTTCAAAAAACCCTGAAACCTGCACGTCCAATAATGCAATGTGATAGCATTCTTCTGTTTGCTTTCTTCAGTGATTTTCACAGACTTGAAAAAGTTTCTCCAGAACAGTTTTTACAGGCTATGTATGTATGCTTATACAAAGATGCTATTGAGTTTTCCATGTAACAAAGTACATTCTCTTAAACCTTGTCATACCTTGACGTAATACACAGACGACTACCAGGTTTCTTTTGGTAAATTGTATCTTAATTGAAGCTGCATGAATTGCTTTTTTGGTCACCTAGCACTGACCTTAGTGGCAATATTATCTTAAAGATTTTATCCAGCAGACACAGAACACCATTAGCATTTATTTAGTGTCGTGATTCTGGCCACCTGACAAATCTCAGTTCTGTTTTTGGTCTCCACAAACTCACAGAGACTCACAAAGATATCTTGCTCTTACCAGCAAGTCACTATCTTTGTCTGATGCTGGGCAGGTAGCATTCAGTAAGTTTATCAAAGCTGCCTGCCCCTGCTGTGAATAGTGTTGATGAGAGTGGAAAGAATGACCAAAAACAGTTAAGTTGTGGACTGCAAAACCAAAATCAGCAGGAATAAGGTAAAGTTCTCCATAGATGTGAGGGGAACTACAGTCCAGTAATAATTCTCTGTGGATTTATTATTACAAGCAACCCCTTTCACATTACACATAGTCATTTCACCTATTGCTAATATAGAAATATTAATTAGTAGAGCTTTAAGCATTATCACAACCAGGTAACCTTAAATACATCTCTTAATCCAGATTAAGAGTATTACAGTTGATGTTCTCCGCAGTGAACCATGCGGTAATTAAGAGCAGCTTTCCATAAGAAAAAGATGAAAGCATTCCATACCATCTAAATTCCTGCATATTCCAGGTGTACTTCCAACACTGACCTAACATGATCTCCTATGCAGTCTTGCTTTTTGTCTTCTTCACTCTCTCTCATGCACCCAATCAACTGTAGCCAAGCAGGCAGAGGCCAAAACTGGCTACCATCCCCATCTACTGACTTCTAGCAGACTGTAATGTGGCTGCCATATGCGCTGCAACCCCTTTTTTTAACGGTCTTAAGTGCACATATCAGAGCACCCTACCTAGCTTTGAGCAGATGTATTTTTGCAAGTGGGTCCTCTCCATAAAGCCAGAGACAAATATTACAAAACCAAGCTGTACCCTCTGAAAGAGGATTTTAACGTTCTTAAGTCTGCCCAATGCAAATGAATCCCTGGCTGGTACTATAGAGCGCATCTTGTATGCCAGGTATATTAACAACTGTGGAAGCTGGTTATATGAGGAAGCAATTAAGTTAAGGTCACTAGAGTGAAGTTTCAGGTAAGGTGGATCTTGATATTACTAGCTCTCCTGCATCAACTTTCCACTCTTCCAGCTGGGCACACAGGCCTTCTTGTCTATGCCACATCACCAGTTTTAAGAATTTCCCATTATTAATAGTATAACGTTCAGCAAAAATAAGAATTAAGTTTCCATATCTTGATGAAATAATGGTAAATAAATAAAAGGTAAATATGTGTACCAATGCAGACAGGGCAACACTCCCCTTCGGGAATGTAGAAGTTTTCACAGTCCAGCTCAGCACACTCTGCCTTGGAGCAGAAGGAGATCCCTCCCCGGCACTGACACAGCCAGCAGGGGTCCATGCGGTACACCTCTCCCTCTGAAAACTCCTTCCCATTGTGGACACACTTGGGAGAAACTAAGAAGAAGAGCAGGGAAAAGAGTAATCAGACAGATGCTGTCAACCTTAAACTAAACACCATGTGTGCACGATAATGCTTAACGCACCCTGCGGGTGACCAATAGGGCACTGTGCTCTGTCAGGTGTGCATCACATTTGGCAAAGATTAACACAAGAATTGCCTCCTCGTGACTATATCACAAATGTCAAGCTTGATCAGTGAGAGACTTTCCCAACTGTACACAATCAATTACAAATTCATAAACATCCATTCATTTTCTGCTATTGATGGAAATGTTTATGTGAACCAAATGGTGCTGAGGTAGACACTGATGGCTGAGGTTAAGCCTGTGGGGTGGAATGGCATTTATCAGACAATGAAGCCAAGTCCATGAGGAGGAATTTCACAGGGATCTATCAAGTCTTGAAAAGGCGTTGGACTTTTGCACTGCAGAGTAAAAGAAAACAGTAGTGGGTCTGAGGCTTTGCAGAATCTGGGCTCAGTGTGCTGGTGGCAGGTGGGGTGAATCAATGCTCTGGCCTGCCTTTCCCAAAAGCATCCAAGCACTTAGAACCTCTTTTAGCGGTGTTCCCTTTACTATAAAAATTAAAATGAGCTTAGTTACGCCACTGTTGGAAAACCAAGGTCTGGTCTTGTGTCAGGCCCATTAAATACGAATACGTATGGGAAAGCCTTGACCTGCTCATTGCAAATTTGGCAGTGTGTGAATCTGTGTAAAAGAAAGAATAGGCTACAAACATAACAATAACATCCTCAGTTGCAATTTCCACAAAATGAAACAAATATGATTAATCATTCACAATTAACAGGGGTAATTTGTAGCCAAAGGAACAGGAAGATTACAGCATGACATCTCAATGGTAATGCTAGATTACACATTCAAATTTACCACTGTGGTTTGGGTGACTCATCATTCTCAGATCTTAAGTAACCACACAGTAACTTTTCATCAAACACACTCCAATATAAGGGAAGTGAGGCAATGTGGTTATGTAAGAAAACCCCCAGAACCATGGAGGAGTAGCTACACTAGTTAGGCGAGTAAATGTATTGCACAGATGCAAGCAGATGTGGGCCAGCGGTTTCTATAAATGAGAGTGGAGGTTACGGTGGCATCTGTACGCCATACCTTTGAGTGCAGACTCAAAGTGTCTGAGCCGATGACCCCATGCCTTCCGACAGCCAGCGCTGCACTCTAATACAAAGCAGGTGGGCCAACTGAGTTGAAAGTACAGCAGGGATTTGTTGATCTTTTATTCTCTTCCTTGCCATCTCTCTGTTCCATTCTTTCTGCTCTTTCCTCTCTCTCTCTCTCTCAGTATTCCTGTCGTCCTGCTTTGCGTGCAGCAAAACCAAGCAGAGAAAATGCAATAAGTACTTTAGCTGGCCGAAATCAAAAGGCACAGCAACGTTTTTAACGCTCACAGAAGCAATAGGAAGTCACATGAGGGGATGCTCACATGTGATTTCCGCAGTGTTTGTTAATGCTAATCCCTAAAACAACTTGCGGCACAGAGTCTAAATTCCAGTCATGCTTTGTGATGTTCAGTCTTCTCTATACTGAGGTAAGGATTGGATGTAGAGATGGATGGGCCATAAAACAGTGACACTAAGCCTTCCTAAATCATTAATAATGCACTGTCATGCTGGCTAGTGGTTTACAGGCGAATAAAGCAAAACCACAGACGGAAACATTTTTCCCAGAGAAGAATAATGATGGGCTTTATTAAAATCAACAGTTGATACTTTTAAACAGTTCAGATGAGTTTAATCTAAATAAAATAATCACTCATTAATTACTAAGAACATGGTTGTTGTGTGATTAGAACAAAACTTAAGCTGAGCTCCCTGAGAACCATTAGTGTGGTGATTCTATTCTTACTGCTTACACTGGCTTTAATCTAAAAAGCACATGTGCAACCCTGAACCTACTCGGCATCCAGGGGACATACGCAGAATATGTGCCGGCTAAAGTGTTGATAAACAGCAGACTACAGCTAAACAGGATCAAATAGGATTATAAGTAGCATCAGATGACATCAGGTCAGGACGGTGCTGCCAGGTTCGGTCTGCCACCAGTTACAGCCAATCTCCAGCCAACAGTGGAAAGAGTCTATCGTTGATGGAGGCCAAAACACACAGGTGGGATTTATTGTCACTGCACACACTGACCCTGACTAAATATGAGCCCTCAGCCAAGTGGGCAATGGAAACAAGTTAATCAGTCCAAACCCGACACACAGAGACAATGGGGGGCAGTGCTAAAGTGTGTTCCATTAGAGAATAGGTACGGTGTTTGAAAGCAACTTTATATGTATACAGTATTTGTAGCCAGTGTTTTGGGGGGGCTCTGTAGGATTGGGGAGGTGACTAGGGGGCCCAGTGTCTGTCCTTGTCCATGTCCTTGTCTGTGGAGCTGTCTGACACGGCATGCAGTCATGCAGGCCTAACGGACGGTAGGGGCAGCACAAAAGGCATCAAGCCCCAGGCCCAAAGAGCAGCAGACACTTGTTATCAAAACACTGATCCCATGGCCCCCACGGCTGCCATTCAGCCCCCGCCGGCCTGCCGGACTCAATTACCCTCCCCACTGGCAGACTGGAGCACATAAAAAGCATTCCCATCAATGAACTGTTGAACCTTTTCCCTTTGGACGTGTGACCAGACAGGAACCCTTTGACACTGCACTTCTGTTGAGCAAATTCGTAGCCTAAGCACTTTTCTGGTCACTGCGCTCGTTAAGTCCATTAATTCCGGGACACGGCACTCATTTATGCATGTGGAGGGGCCAGAATGGGAATTTGTTCTGTTGGTAAAACAGCGAATATTTGTTGGGAGCGCAGAGTAAACACACCAATACCACAGGTCCCCTCCCTGCCTTCCTGACTCTCCTGGCTGCCTCTGGGCCACGTCAAAAGCGGCCTTTATATGGGATCAACATCTGCGCACTCTCTCACTTCTCTTTCCTTGCATTTCCTCCATCTCCTTCTCACCAGGTGAGAAAATGGTACAAAAGCATAATTCAGACCAGCATTCTCCATTATATTTAATATCCCTTCAGGCAACATACATTTTTGTAGATACACCCATGAAAAAATGTCTTTGAACCATGGTCTTAACCCTGGGAGGCATCAGCCCAGCCTGATAAACGGCCCAACAGTAATTATCCAATCAGCAACTTTCCTTTTCATCTGTGGACATTTAGTCAGCAGGGAGGAAAGCCTTACTCTGAGGAAAATAATTGCTTCCTCAAAGGCGATGAATCTCACACCAACTGTGCCATTGCTACCCCTAGTGGGAGACCAATCGAAACAGATCGTTTAGTGTGCAGTTCAGTGTAATCACCTTTCTGGCACTCAAAGACATCACAGCAGTCTCCTGGCTGGCCGCTGGCCTGGCTGAGTGGCACGGCGCGCTGTCCGCTCAGGCACTGGGGCTTGTGACAGGCACGGAGGTCGCAAGTGCACTGGGGTGGTATTGATGGGCAGCAACCAGCAGGGGGCGTGTAACTCTTGGTCAGGACCGAACCCTTGGGGCAAGAGGGCACCTGCAGAGCGGGACACGTCACCCCGGCACACTTCAGCTCCTCTGAAACACACAGACATGGGCGTTCATGTTACAATACAGGTGTGTATGCAGCATACAGTATATGCAAGCCATAACAGTGAAAGGAACAGCTTTGGCATCCTTTATATTTTTCATCCTATGACATTCTGTAACACCACCTTCAACTGCTCTAAGCTCTGACACTGCCCACACTGTTCTTGTAGAGGAAGGAGGGATTTTTCTGTGCTTAAACGTGTGTGTGCATGTGTGTGTGGAGGCCGCCTCTTCGTAGTGTCAGTCGAGCCACTTTAGAACAGTGCTACTCGTGTTACGGTCTGAAAGCTGAGTTCACACAGTCAACACAACTCTGTGCACAGTCATCAGATCACCACTTCAGTCCGTGACAGCTTCACAGCATCCTGTCAGAGAAGTGAGAGCGGCGCTCCAGACACGACAAGGCTCTCTGCGTATCCTGTCTATGGGCCTCTGATCCCACCCAGCCTGGCCCGGCTGGCTCACAATCCAAACAGCCCCTCACGCTCTAAAATCAGTCATTAATACCAGCCAACCTTCAACAAAGCTTTTCTTCTTGCCAGTTTAGAAGCTCTCCTTCACTTAGCATACCAGGATGTTTGTCTATTCATTTGCCAGAGCCAACATAATAGCTCTGATACCCCTTGTTAGGGGAAACGGGTGCAGGGGTACTGGAAATCTGGGCAAGGGGCTCAGGGGTGTATTTTGGAGTCTGTTCAGGAAAAGAAAAGTGGAGCGCCCCTCTGTGCAGACATTGTATGAGAACAGTAGCTACCTTATAAAGATTGGATTACCCAAACCAAATGGACGTGTTTATTTTGGTTCTCAGTGTCATTGTAATGTATACAGTGCAGGCAGAAGAGAAGGATTGCGGAGAGCAGACTCAGGTCCTGTCCTATAATTGTCAATCACTAAGTAATTTCCGAGATCCCCCTCTGAAAGCACAGTAAATACAGACTTTGTAGCACTTTGACAGCTGAGAAGAAAGGCAGCATTAACTAGCCCAGAGATTATGGATGAGAAAGAGGACAATCTGGCAATTATACATCCAGTTTAAATCATCACTGACATTTAAAGGAGAAACTGTGTCAACAAATGACTGCCTTATAAGAAAGTTCAATTAAGTGGATTATGATTTAGTTATTTGAAATAGTTGACAATCTTTGCATACATATGGTTTTTGAGGAGAGGGAATGATACAGGCTGGGATTGTGTAACAGTACTTAGGATTTCGCTAGTGTTTCCAGAAGCAGAGTTTTGTTGATGGTCTTCCCAGACTGGTGCTGGCTCCACAACGCAACACGAGTCTCTCAGAGGATATGCCTCATCCCTGACATTTGAAGACCTGTAAGCGGATCCCTTTGGGTTTTGCCACAAGATGGGAAAACTGAGCTGGTGAGCGGTTCGGGGTCCAGACTTCTGATCCCCTGATAATGGTTCTCCTCTGCCAGTCCTCAACTCTAGAGCTGGACCTCTGAATCGTACTGTATTCTCAGCCTTTCCAGCTCTTTAAGATTAACTTTTTGGTCTGACCTGATGCTCTGCTGCCATTGCAGTTAAGTAGCCGTTTGATGTCTACCTGACCTTGAATAAACATGGAGGAGAGAGGCTGTAAGACTGTGACTGCTGTATTTTGGTGGGTGGGGTAACATTTCTGACAGATGAAATTGAGGATAAGGGAAATGTTGAATTTTTCTGGCTCCGGATAAATAGAGCAGGAGTGTGAGGTATCTGTACTGTACTGTTTACTCAAGCAACCTGGGAACAGTGAGGACCGCCACAAAGCTCCATTGATAAACTTTGTAGCTGACTAGTGTCATAGAAAATGAGGGGAAAACCCCTGAATTAAGAGAGGCTACAACCCTTTTAACGGTTTTTGGCCTATTTCCTATGCTGGAGTTAAATAAACTTCAGTTGGAAATGTTGATTGGTGAATGTTTTACTTCCAATAAAGTCTATAACGCAGTCTGCTGCTGCTCAGTTGAAGACTGGTTTTGCATATGAAAACCTCACACTGAGCCATAGAATACCCTGGGACAATCTTGCACAACGTTCTGCACTGAAAAACACTTTCTGTGTATTGTATGTCTCCCAGAGAAGGCTGATTACTCTTTCACTTGTAATAATGGCTGGGGTTAGAGTGCGCTGGGAAAAGCAGCTGGCAGATATACCATTGTCATTCAAATGAATAGGATTGTATCTATCCGTGGAAGTGGTCCAACCCTTGCAGGTCCAATTAATATAATTTTCTTACTGCTGCATTTATAGGCACAATAAGCAGACAGAGGATGGAAAAAGTCAGCAGCAAATGGATTTTATCCTGTGCTGTTTGTGTTCTATCTCTGAGCCTAAATGGCTGTAATTAGTGAGTCAGCAACCACTGAACCAATCTTTGTATCACAATGGTGGCCATACTCCAGCTTGCACAAACACAAAAAGCTTGATTTGGTATGCTTGATAAATTCTCTCTCCAGATTAGGCAACATGTGCTCTGTAAGATAGCAAATAATAGAAAACCTCTGACCTCAGTGCACAACCTGCAACAATATATAGTCACACACACACACACACACAAAAAAGACACACACCTGACACTGGTCTGGAAGAGGTGGGATACGGAAATTGCTTCATTACCACAGAATGGTCCCTGTTGTTAACAATGCATAGTTCTGGCATCTCAGCTCATTGAAGAAGAAGAAAAACACCTCCTATCTAAATGGTTTTTTTCTTCTCTTCAACCCCTCGTACAAGGAGAGCAGTCTTTCCCTGAACCAGAGCGGCTCGGACAGGCAGAGGAGGCTGTGTTGACAGCCTAAGTTTACTCATGGAAAAAGCGCACAATGTGAGTTCTGTTCACCGACTGACTTTGGAAGCAATTCAGATGAGAACAAAGCTGTCTCAGTCCAGCTGCCCTCCGTGGGTTTTCTGGTCTGTCCTCAGGTTTTATAAAGTTGCTCCGCAAAGGGACACATCGGGGCCGTCTCTCACGTAAAGCTGTGGGGGCCTGGCCCAGTGCCCACCAGCAGTTACAGCTGAGAAAGTCAGCATTGTTCACTGTGTGTATCGGCGTGTGTGAGTATATGTGTGAGGACCGCGGAGCATGTCTGGGAGGGGGTCCAGGCCAAAAGGCACAGACAGGGTCACCGGGAAGAAACATTTGGTGGGAACTTCACACCATGGTCAGAAGCTTGAGGTAGTCGGGCGCAGGCATGCAGCAGCCGGCAGGACTGCATCTGCTGCCTCACTCTCTCGCTCTTTGACTAAATATTTGCAGATGAAAAACGTGATCTCAGTGTCTTAAGTAACACCGCTGCAGCTGTGAATGAGGCTGTTTGGGTGAGGTAATGAGAATGTCCCCATGTAGGTGCACATTTGCACATAGATTTTCCATGTATGTGTTTGTGCGTGTGCAAAGTGAGTGTACACAGCATGTGTGCATTCCAGTGAAACACACCCTTTCCTTGCCGTCAGATGGCCAATAAGATTAGGCCAATGACAGAGAGTGTGAGGGCTAAAGGGTCTGTCCCTCAAACAGAGATCAGCATGCATGGTTTATCGTTGTATCTACCACAAAATGCATATGAAAAGGGTGAGCATACTCTGCTCCAGGGTACTGTATATAAAGAACTGGGAAACATAACAGTTGTCACGTGTACTTTATACACTATACCTAAGAAAACAACTCAGCCGTCATCTGTAGCAAATGTAGAAAATATGTATATGGGGGACATGTGGTGTAGACAGCTGTTGAATACATTATGGAAGAGCCATTTGAGGTATATATGGATTCTGTTTCTATACAGGGAAAAGGGGAAAGAATGGCTGATAATAGAAGAAATGTGCCTGGAAACAACAGGAGTTGGCTGAAGTCAGGGTGTCTTTTAATTTGTTAATGGTTATGGTTGTGTCAATGAGCGGAGGCTTTAGGTCTAGATTTAGTGAATGGAGTGAGGGTTAGAGCTGGACATGCAGGAATGGTCTAAGATTTCATGTGAGTGTGTGGCTTGGCTTTTTCTGCTGGCCTAATGTTGGCTGGTTTGGTTAGCGGCTGACCACGAGTAGTGACTGGGTTGACAGCAATCCCAACATGCCTTTAAGGGAAGTTCTTTGTCTCAATTGCCACACAAGAGTTTTGTTTCCTCTTCGAAATCACTACCCACATACAAACTACGCACAGACTGGGAAACGAGCTGCTCGCAGGGTACAACAGAGGCCATGGCTTCCACAGACGGCACACAAACACACACCACTGAGACGTCTCACGCCCCTGCCAGCCAGTGGCGGTCTGGCTCAGCCAGTAATAGCTCTACCACAAAGAGGCTGCAGCCAAGCAGAACTAACAGTCCTTTCACAAGGGCAGAGAGAGGCGGGACGGAGCTGACATAGGTGGGCAAGTAGATTTGTGGGAGCAAGGTCCGTTTGTGCCATGGCTTCACAGTGGGCACCGCTTCCCTGTCTGATGAAACGTTTGTGAACTTCCACACACAAGTGAGGGACAAATGTAGCTCTATTTTACTCTATTTTATCCTCATTATCAGGTCACAAGAGCAAGTAAGTAGACAACCTGGCTGCTTCAGCATAGCTTGGGTTTTCAACAATTAGTTGCTGAGCAAATGTTAGTGTTAAGTGATGCCAGTTGTATGAATCACCTAAACACTCTGTTGACTGATGTTGCTTGTTCCTGACAGTGAGCGACACCAGGGGAATTCCTCTAAAATAGCAGTTAGGGGCCTTATCATGAATGAAATATGTAAACCATCCTAGAGTGTAAAATTTCCAAACACCACCATCCAAAGACCCTGGGGCCTGTACACAAAACACACAAATACCTCTACAAAATGGCGTGTTGTGATTTCCTATCTTCCTGCGTCTGCCTTCCCCCTCCCTTTCCTACACTTATCACATCCTCTTTCCCGGACATGTGGGTAATACGTCTGGCACACCATGTTGCTTCTGATTGAATGTTTGCAGCCAAATTACATCAGCGTCTTGTATACCAGCAGAGAACAAGATCCCGCTGAGACTGCAAGAGGCAACTTTAGGTGATTGAACACCGGCTGTGGTGAAGCGGAAAAGATGTTGAGTTTTAACAGATCCCAGTGAGTCACAGCAGAGGGATGAACTGACAAGACCACTGCGTGAGTTAAACAGAAAGTGAGAGACCAAACCATTACCATGTGTGAACTTACAAATCTCAAGAAGAGAATTCATGTTCCGACTGATGTCTGAAAAGAGGTTCTTGAAGCGTTGGGTTGTGCTTTGATGTCCCAGTGCATGTGAAGACAAGTGAATGTTCATGCTTTGGGCGCAGGTTAACAGGAGACATTTCTTTCCCACACTAGCAGTGCATGCTAACACAGATCTTAATAACTGCTTGTGTCAGGAAAACGAGGGGTTGACGGATGGACGCAGTCACTATGGAGTCCAACAGGACTAAGCGAATAAGTTCCTAACCACAGAGCCCCAGTCTGTGCGCAGAGGAAGCTCCTGATGATGACAAAGGAAAATCTCTGCCGAGACATCTACACAAACAAGATAATTATCACGCACAGACACATGCGCAAACACAGACGCAGACACGCATGCTCACATACATATACACACAATATATATGCTTCATCACACATGTGATAAACACATGCAAGCGTGTGCATCCTTCCACATGCACATGCATACTTACAGACATAACAGACACACACATCCTGGTCTCTTACTTAATGAGGGGCCATCAGAAGGGTGGGTGTGTGTTGCAGTGAGAACTCATAAGCTGTTGAAAAATGTTGTTTACAGTTCCACTGGTGTGAGTTTAAACTGTCATCCGTTGGGCTCTGGCTTTGAGATGAGGGAGTTACAGAACATAGATGAGCATATCTTTCATTGTAACACTAGACTTCAATGTTACGTCTAAACAATATAATGTTTGACGAACACACTTCCTGTGGGATTTACTCAGTGAGGCTCCAGACGTGTTCTGTAATTACCTCTGTGTTATTTACAGACTAAATAATCTCAAATATGTTTCCACAGCATGTTCCTAGAGAGCTGTTCTTCATCTGAAATGTCAGAAAATTGCAAAGAGGGGGAGAACCTTTAGTATCAAAGGAGAGCAACATGTAGATAAAAACACAAGCAGTCACAGTCACATGCTTTGGACTTAATCTGTTCACTACAGCACCGAACCACTTTCCTTCAGGTTTACAGCATGGTTTTACAGTTTTCTGGAAAGGCTTGTTCAGTGAAATGAGGTTTACTTAACATACACAGAGGTTCAGTGAGTTCACTCAGTGGCAGTCCTGTCCTATTTTGCAAATGTCACTCAGGAGGCAGCCGTAGCACTTAGCGCCTATCTATCCACCAGACACCCAACAATCCAAATGAGGAAACTAAACTCTCTCTGCCAATAACATGTTTCACCTAGAAGTGTCAATCATTGTGACTGCTTAGAGTGGAGGTACACACATTCTTGTATTCTCGCACATCATTCAAATAGATCCTCTTTTTTACCTCCCACACAGGGCAAGCAATCATCTTGCACTCTATATATTTGCACCTTAAGGACATTGTCCTGTGCCTCTCCAACACTTCATATTTCTATCATCAGTCTCGGGAACTCCTTTTCTAGTAATTGAGACCTTTTCTGTTATTGCTCCTCTGTCAGATTCACACCTTCTTTCTTTCACTCAACATCTTTTCTCCTTGTTTTCTTTACATGACATCACTCATGCTCTTACTTTTTCACCTTCTCCTTTAATTTTCACACTCTCTGCATGTTATCATGGGAAGTGCTGTGCATTATACCATCCGCCTGCTAAGCTTTCATACGTAGTATCACACTGTGAGATGCAAGTGACTCCATGCAAATATTCTGACAGATTGGTACGAAGGATTAATTGTGCAATCATATGCATAATTTAAAGTACTGGAACTTTAAAGGGTCCCTCTGCTTAAAATCAAAGGTGAGCAAATTTAGAGGCACATGGTTTTCATTGGTCAGCACCAAAGTGCTTCTTTTCACACATAATGAGCTGGGACATAAGGAATTCTGTGTACTACTCAGAGTTGATTTGTACAAGAGCAGGGCCAAAGATCACTTTATATCACTGTTTATATTAAGCATGGGCTTTTAGATAAAAGTAACTCTGTGGCTGCAGAATGTATTTCAGACTCAGGTATAAATCTTGTCTTCTTAGCTCTAAATAACTTGAGCTGAGTAAAGCTACTGGTCGGCTGCTGTGTGGTTGTCAGTTCCAGTTGCAGGTCATTTGAAGGTTACCTGCGGCTTCCTGGCACTGGCTGCGGTTGATGTAGGCGAAGTGGTGGTGGCAGCTCTGAGACTCGCACACACAGCCCTCAGCGGTCAGGTTACACCCAGAGAACATGCAGGCCGGATTGGATGGTCCCACATACTTTTCTCTGTGTCTTTCCCGGTGTTCGTGCCTGCGACCCTCTGAAATCCAGCCGTGGACACACACACACACACAAACCACAGTCATCAATGAGTCACGGACAATGGCACCACTCAAGGGTGAAAGGGGAACGACTAGACAAAGCCCTAGCATGTGTGTCATCACTATGATATGTAAGTAGCATTAGTCACCTCAGAGCCACATCTGTTATGGATTAGCTACCCTCAATGGACAGCATTATTCCCTCTGACTAGGATTCTGTGCTTGTGTGTGTGTACATGCATCTGTATTTCCAAATATGTGTGTGATGGAAGGAGAGGGCTCACCTGACTTACTGGACTTCATGCAGGTTTCTTGGTCTGGGTAGGTAAAAGATTCCAAGCAGGAGTGACGGGCATCACACACACATTGACCTCCAGCTCTGTCGCAGCCTGTTATCAGGGGACAGCGCTCGTCCTCCAGGCCTGCCTCTGGATGGTCAGGGAGCTCTGTGGAGTGCCGAGGACAGCAGGGAGAATGGAGGACATTAGGATAGGGAAAGAACATGAACCTTCACTTGGACTGGTTTGTCTATTTTATCCATGAATAAGCAGACATTGGAGTGTAAAGCGTAATCACAAGGCAAACTGTGCCAGAAACCGAGATTTGTTTCCCAAAAGTGCTGAAGGGTTAGCCAGCTTACAGCCTCTGTTGCAACACATTGCCCTGGCACCGCCGTTACTGAAGTGACCAGTGTATTTCTGGGCTGCTGGAGGGCTGCTCTTTCCTCGTCGTGCCACGCTACTTTAGCTATTGAGCCCATTTGTTTGCTTTTGTTCCACAGCATGGGGCCCTCCCAGGGTTTCCATCTCTGCTCGCTGCTGGAACGCCTCTTCTGTACCAAGGCCACTTGCACCATATCCACATATTGTTCCCTCGCCTTGTGAGCCTTACCCCCTGAGAAGGCACCTTGAGGCTTACCCCAACTTGGATGAAACTTTACTATAGGAAGGAATGTACAAGGGACTGATGTGCCCCGTTATTGCCATGTGGGCTGAGCAACCACCAGTACCCTGGGATTAAAGAGGCCCAACATGCACATCACCCATAGTGTCCCTTTCATATGCATGAATACACAAACACATATATACCCCCAAAATACCCTCCTTCACAGTTGTCCAAATGCACTAAGAGTGGCAGCAGAGTAAACAGGATGAGACAAACTGTAACATTGAGTAACCCCTTCCCAAGCATTTAGCTCCCAGGCCTCAACCAACAGTGTGGAAGCGTGATTGGAGCTTATTATAATACTCTCTTCTCCAAAGAGCTACACACCAGAATAATGCACCAGAGGAAAAGGTGAAAATGTCTAACTATCCTATAAATACACTCTTAATAGTATGTTTACCTGACTACTATAGCCATATTACATGAAATCAAGCCCTTTAAAATTAAATCCTAAGTTTTCATTCTCTGCTAGGGGTCAGAGAAACAATAATGGGATGAGTCGAAGTGACTGGAAAAAAACAGAATTCCACAGCTTTGCTTTTAAATGCTGTAAATCATAATAAAACACATATGTTGATCCATGTTAATTTTAAACAGATATTCCACTGTGGGTTAAAGCCAGCCTCTTACTATAATAAATTTTACTGTTGAAGCGAATCAATGTGACTGCAAAGGAAAGTATCCTTGAAAACACTTTCCTCAAGTTATGTTGGTTGTGTGCATGACTCCTTGGTGAGGGACGATGTTCACAAGCACTACACTAAACACCGGCCCAATGGAAGAGGTGAAGGTAATACTACCTTTAACCTGAGCCAGCCTGTGCTGTTAATAGCTCTCCCAGACAGCCAGCGAGACTGGCAAAGCACAAGCAGCCTTTTCAATAAACCACACCAAAACTTTCCCTGTGATTTCCTTTCACCTCAAAATGATCCTCAACTCCACATTTTTTCCATTCAGAGGCTTTCCTGTGCCTGGGAGGGTATTTTCTTTTGAGGTGGTGGTGGCAGGGGTCCCTGTCTGTGTGTGGGGTGCTAAATCTGGCATGTAGAAAGGAGGTGGAAGTCAAAACAATTAATGAAAAGTTGGAAACCAAAGATGTTGTCTCATGAGCTAATTTTTCGCTTGACCCCAGTCAGCCCAGTTTGTTCTAGGCTGGTCTGCATCAGCCAAGACCCTTCTAGTCTGACCCTGGTCTGGTCTGGCCTTGGTATCCATTATCTGGCCTGGCATGACTAGCCAAGGTCTATGGCTTCATCCCAGGGGGATTCCTCTCTTAACCACTGAGACTGCTTGTCTTGGCATCCAGGGCCAGGATGGGAAAGCTGACCTCTAGAGGCCCTCTGGCTGATAGTGAGCTAAAAAGGAAGTCTTTGAAACATTAGATAATACCAGGGGAAGGGAGAAGTAGACGGCATGTGAAGGAGTGCAGTGGACATAGCGTCCCTGTAAGACAGACATTCTGTTACGTGGTATTTTAAGTGCTTCTGGAGCTTGGGGAAGCTTGGCGTGGGAGGACAGACACAAGAATACAATGAGAACATCAAAACAAATCATTCAGCTGCAAAGACTGGATGATTTCACATGACTGACAGGCTGATCAGTGAAGCAAATATGATATGGTAAAAGGCCCAGATGACTAATCCCCTGAGCAGGTGCCTGTGCACTCACCAGACGTTCAACAGACCCAACCTGCAACCTGAAACAGCAACATTTGATTCACCATTTTTTTCACAAGAGCTTCAGTGTTTAAATGCCTATATGAGAATAACTGATTTTAATACTACATGTATTGTTTTTACATGCAATTATTTTTGGTTATTATACCTTTGAAGTGTGAACAATTCGATTAAAAACTGAGTGATGACACATTACCAAGGTGTACCTCTCATATAACATACAACATGTCACCTGTGTTGTAAGGTTGTAGCATCTCGACACTAACAGATTATGGCCACCCAGAAAATCAAAACTGTGGGCAGAAAAGCAGGGGATCAGAAAGCGGAAACATTTACCCCCTTCTCCTGATTGCGAGTCTAATCACTTTAAGACCCTTGCTGCTTCAGGAGGGAAGTATGGGATCAGCCTCCAGCAACCTGCCTACCGTGGCCCCTGAAAACACACTGGGAGGTGTTGCTTTACCCCCACCAAGACCCTCTGGGATATTGATATTGTGTGTGTACGTGTGTCTGATTTAGGGGTCAGCAGCATGCTCAGAGGCCCCTGGAGCCACAGGACCAGAGGCACAACTCAATCAGAGGAGCCATTAGGTCTCCCACTCATTCCAAAGCTGTTAATTTGCAGAGGAGATGTCCTCCAGACGCCAGCCTAACCTGAACATGAGGCACAATCAGCAGCAGCGTCTCCTGGGATGGCCAGGGGCTTGAGACCCCTGGAAAACCCTCGTGGAGCCTGGACCACCTCACAGAGGAATGATGGGAGGGCAGGGTCAGGGGATCCAGACACCCACTGAGAGCTGCTTACTCTCTCCTACAGTCCTGTCAGTCCCTTTCAATCATTCCAAAACAGGCTGGACACAGTGCAGGTAAAGGGGCTGACCTCCCAGCAGGTATTGTTCCGCAGGAGAAGGCTATTACTACTTACTTCATTCACTGTGAGGAACCTGACACCCTACACATATCTTTGGAGTTCAGAAAGTTGCTCAAATTGTGCGTAAAATGAGCGCATCCCCAGCGGAACAGAAACAGAACAGAAAAGTAACGCACTGTGGATTCACAAGATTACAAATGAAAATCTGCTCGGGACTTTTGCAATCGTGCTGTCAAACCATTGCATCTCTGGGGCACAAACTGAAGCCTCTGGTGTAAACAATACAGACAATTTATTAAATTACAGCGTATTCCAAGTTTAAAAACACAATAATCTTTGCTGGCCCTGCCCTTGGTAACCTGCAGTTTCGCTCTCACACAGATTTAAACTGTCATTTTTGTCTTATCTCAATTCACTGCCTTTTTTATAAATGTCTCTCTGAGTTGTAAAACAAAGAGAACAGAACCTCCTGAAGCTGAAGTGTAACTTGGTGCCAAAATCACTGCTGCCAAACTTTTTGTCATGCCTCTGAGCTGAGAGTGAATGAAGCTTTGAAGAGAAGAAAGGGCAGCTGAACATGACTCCTCTCCTGGCAGTCAAGAGCCCCACAGACCTGAGGAGCTGCTCCAGGCAGCCAGTGACGAGGTAGACACTGACACAGTCGCTGCTGTCAGGATTTAACTGACATCTGAATGGCGATGTCCTCAAGCCACTTGAAGGAAGGGGGTGGTTGCTTACCAAAAGAACTGACACCTACAGTTATTTCATTGCACTGTTAAATAACCCAACCCCAGCACACTGTCACAAGTTCTATGATTTAATAAAAATGACAAGACAGACTGCTACCCACCTTTACACACTCCAATTTCAGGGATCGTGGCCGCTCTGGTTGTGTTGAAAGAGGCGCAGGTCAGCCCGAGGGCGCAGTAGCCGTGCGCCCAGTCCTGTCCGCCGCAGGGTTCCCACTCTAGCCGGGCGCACTGGTCACAGCACCCGCACGGATCCCTGGCCAAGGTCCGGCCACCCTCGCAGCCGTGCGGGGCTTTGACGGGACAAGTCCGGAGATTACACGGCGTGCACTCATGAGCCGAGAGCGCCCGCACCAGAAAGAGGACATTCAACAACACAACGGAGCACTTGCTGAACATGTTTAAAAAAAAATAAGCCTTCTGTAAGTTTCCCAAAGAAAATGCCCCCGCTTCTGTCAGATGATAAACCACATGAACTCCCCCCGCCGATCTACCCCCCTTCTGGATGTTAACTCCAAAGTTGCAAAGTCTTCTTTAAAGTTTTGTGATGAGTCTTCCCTCGGGCTCGTTGTTTATTACACAGCAGCTCAATTCAAAAGCAAAAAATAAATACAAAAAATACCACGAGACTGAAGTGTGCGGGCGCGTTTTAGGTGGCAGCAATATCCAAAGGCAAAGGGTTCAGTGTGCGCAGGTAGACGCGCGTAACGAGCTTCTCATCTGATTCAGAACACGCAAGAAATCCCAGACCGAAGCAGTGGACTTCCACTGAGGCTGCTGCTGACAGCCACACACGAGAACCAACGCAATCTGACTCTTAACTTGACATACAGGCATATAGAAATTAGCGGTGCACCCCCTCCCCCTGACTGACACAGGCACCGACCAGTCACAGGGAGCGAAAGGAGGGAGGATTTGAACTGATCTATCCCCGCTCGGCAACTCGTCTCTGTGTTGCGCAATGATGTAACTTTGAATGCGTTGAGTTCAAGTTGCTTTTTTTTGCTTCATATTCCGTAAATCAATGCAATTGTGGGTCTTTAACAGCTATTTACCAGTTTGAAAACGGATATAGTAGGAAGTCCCCCTCCACTGCACAGAGATGTGTTTTTCTTCTTGGTCCTGCAGTTGGATGTTTCAGCTTCGCTGTGCGGAATGATGTATGT